AGATTTGAAACACCTAAGAAGTTTGGCAACACAGTCTTTTGAAACAGCTACGTGAAGCCTCTTCCAGGCTTCTCATTAAGTGCTGGGGGAAGTGCAGCAAGATACACCCAACACGATGGGTAGTTTGGCAGCAACTATCACAATTATTTTATCCTTTAGCTTATGAATAATATTTCTGAAAATTTATAACTTACACGTATTTTCTAATATATACAAGTACATGAAAATATTTATTATTTTATAAAAAACTGAAAACACTCATGACTCTTAACAGGATACTGATTAAATTAAGTATGATACATGTATGTCCCCATAGAGGAATATTGTACACCTGGTAAAAAAAAGAGTTATATTTCTTAAAAAAACCAAAGTGGAGAGGTATGCACAATTACGCTACCTTCATACCTACATACCCACATATATGTGCATATATGTTTTTATATATAAAGTATATATACATACTTACCCACGTATATGTGCATATATGTGTTTATATATAAAGTATATATACATACATACCCACGTATATGTGCATATAAATATGGGTACCGTTTGCATAAAGGAACTGTGAAGAATAATCATAATGTATATGAAAAGTGTTACCTATTGGGTTCAGAAGGAAGTGCATAAAGATAGAAATAGGAATATGAGAAAGATTCTCTATAAAAATCTTGATTTAGGTTTCATACTATTTTTTTAAGTGATTTTGCTTTTTTTTTTTTTTTAAATCATAGCTGTATACATTAGTACTATCATGGGGTACAGTGTGTTATTTCTATATACAATTTGAAATACTTTCATCCAACTGATTTTTGAGTCATCTTGTTGTCTGACTGATAACTCTAAAATTAACAAAAATAAAAGGCTTTCATAAATTAAAAAAAGGAAAAGAACATTATAACTAGGGCTTGTATAAAGGCTGCCGGTGCCTGAGCAGGTGAGTTAGTGCCTGTCCTCACAGAAGTGTAGCCTCTTCTGCAAAGCACCCTGAAGAATGTCACTTAACACTGAAGTAAATGGAAGACAAAAGGAAGCCCTGAGGGGAGACCCCCCATCAATCTGTAAGAGTGTGGGCATCCACTATTCATTTCCTCTAATCAAAAATCCTATTGTTGTTTATATCGCGGGTCACAGCCTGCTTGGCAGGTCCGCTTGGCTATGATCTCAACTGTCTTTCTGGACTTACCTCCTGTTACTGCACTTCCATCTAAGGAAACTGGACAATTCACTTTTCCTTGGAAGTTCTCTGATATGCCATGGTTTTGTGTCCCACACTTTCCCTTCCTGTCTTTGGAATGTTTGTCATCTCGCCACTTCCAGATTTCTCTAAAAAGTATCCCTCCAAATTCCTCCAAAGCTGTCCTGCCCTCCTTGTGAGAATACTATCAAATGATATAACACCTCTATAAATTCCCTAGTTTATGGGGTGGCAAATAACAGTAATACAAACACGTTCAATGGATTTTGAGCTCTAATAGAATATTATTCTTATTTTTTGACACTTGATGAACTTTATTTGCATTGTAATTATTACTTATAATAGATTATAAGGTTTTAGAAGATGAAGATTGTGAGAGGATTTCATACATGGAATAGTTGTTGAAAAATATTTTAGAATTCAGGTTAATTGAAACTCAGTTTTTATTCAGACCTGAGTTCATGTTATTAATGTATTTTTGTATGATGAAATAAATTAGGAAGTGGAGCTTAAATAAATTAGGAAGTAATGATTTAAAATGTGACCATGTGTGGCTCTGTAGTGCAGTTCTGTGGCTTTTGCCCATAAGAAATACAGTCACCCTTTGGGGAAACTCTTTTAATTGCTACATGAGGATATCCCTCTTCTCAGCTAAAAGTCCACATGGTACAAGAGTGACCTCGGCCTGCTTGTTGAGTTTCTGTGACAGATTCAATGACTCTTCTGCTATAGTCATGTGACCCAGTTCAGTCCAATCAGATCTGTGATCCACAGAGACTGTGCTGTGCTGAGTGATCTGGCAAAGGCATTCTTTCACCAGAGTTTGCTGAAAGGATCAGATATTAACCTAAGGCTTTCTAATTAACTTAGTGGGAACTTCCACCAGACACTGCTTACAGCACAGCGAAAATAAAGCAAAGGCATTTTAAAAAATGTATAGAAAAATGAGAACCTACTCAGAATCCTGTGTGAGCTCCTGGATCCAGCCATTCCTGACTTTGTTATCCTCAGACTTTCCTAGGGATATCTGTACTGCCTAGGCTAATGCTAACTCCATTGTCTATCAACTATGAACAATGAAGATTTGCCTACTGTAAGCCAAAATTTGGAATACTTACAAATGCATTTCAAAGTCTAGTTATACAATGTCTGTTTTGCAGTGTAAAAAATACACTTCTGGTATCCAGAGTTAATTTGGGATTATTAAATGATTTTTAAAACACACGTGCATTTATAAAGTTGATTGTGTTAAATATTTTCTAAGTGTATGGGGAATTTCAAAATTGTCTGAAAATATAATACAATTATTTTTTCACTTTAGACAAGAAAGGTATATATTTCTTTAGAAATATATTGAAGATATCTTTATGTTGGATTCTTCACATGAGACACTCTCAGAAATTCTGTGTTTAAATGCCACAGGTAGGACCAATAATAAACAAAATACTCTTTCTCTCCTCAAATATCTTCTTCCTACTATTTGCCACGGCATTGCTTAAAACTGGAGTCTTCGATGTTTAGCTGATCCTTTGGATTCTGCTTGCTGTGAGAACTTAAAATTCTACTTCCCTGGTTGGGAAGTCAAGGACTGTATCTTTCTCCTATGTGTATAGGGCATTTTTATTGGACTCCATAAGTAACTGAAAATAGAATGAGAAAATTTTAAAGGGAATGGGCTGATAAGAACAAGATGGGGTCTATCCCTCTAGGAACCAAGGGTATGGGACCTAAATTAAGGACAGAGCAGGCTGCTCTGGAACAGAGCATTAAAAATTAACAAGAGGAAAAATCTCTAGGAGTTTCCCCCCTTTTGAATTTTGCTAAATGCTGGCACCCAGTGGAAAAGTATGATAGTCTTTTAACAAATCAACTAATCTTCTGTATTGTTTTTCTTTCACCAAAACTTGTTTCTTATTTCTCCACTTAAAATATAGTTACCTGTAGTAATTCATTTGCAATTGATTGTCTTAAGATTTGGTGTATACATTCAAGAGATTATGCAATACTCATTTTCACAAACAATGCTTAAGGGTGTCTTAGTTTACCTTCTAGCCTCTCATTGCTCTTTCTAAATTTATATCAGGCTCTGTTCAGTTCATTCTTAATTTTACACATACTCCACAAAATATTTATATTTTAATTTAACAATTTCTATAAGGAACACTTAATTTTTAACAAATAATTTGGGTTTTAAAAGCATTAAATGGCTATAAAAACTTTCTTGGGTTTTTCTTCAATGCCAGATGCTCATCCATTCATTCTTGCTAATGTGTAAGTATTATATATATTTATTAATGTGATTTTCTTTTATAATAAAATGAAATAAAATAACAATATATCAACCAAAACTATCTGAATTATATAGCGTCTAAAGATGCAAAGGATCAGAGCCACAATATTAAAGACAGACTTAAATAATGCTTTCCATTATGAGGATATGCAACAAATTGAAAATCTAATCAGAATATCAAAGCAAATACATATTACCAAGGTCTTCTCACACTCCAACAATAAAAAAATGTATTGAACACCAAGTCCTAATCTCTATTATTCTATGATCATTTATATAGTCAACTAGTAGCTAGCTTCAGTCCTGACAATTGAAGACGTCTTAAAATGGAGGTGCTAACATACCTAATAATTTCCTACTAAATTGACCACATCAAAAACATTTATATGTGTCTTTCAATAGAAGACAATAAGAGAAATGAAAATTGTTACCACTTATCAATCCTGTAACCATTTTTTAATAACACAAAAAATTGGTGTTGTGGGGGCCATAACTTCTCCCATCTAACAGAACAATAAAAATAATATTAGGGAAGAGTGGATCATATCTTGGACTTTTATTAAAATTCTTTCAAAAAATCTACAGTCAGATTTATTTTAGGTATTTGTCTCAGAGATGAACAATATTTTGATATTTTCTGTGCATATAGTACAGCACACAAAGACATTCTGTACAAGCAAGAAGTGAATACAGAGCAAAATTACTTGTCAGTTTATGACTAATAAATTATTTTCACTTCTAAGTCTTATTGTTTTGGAATATCTCAAAGAAGGAAAATTATATAATTACATAAATAATGAAAGTATACCTCTAATTTGCTTCTCCTCCCAGAGTAAGCTTCAGGGAAGTCAGCTATGACTTTGCTTTTCAAAATTTTGCCTCTGAAGTAGAAACTTGCCCCCATTTCATACTATATCTTGAATAAAATTTAGTAAAAACAATTCCAGTGTCACAAGAGAGAATATTCTTTCTCATTTTAAAATGATTTAGCTTAATGGCTATTTAATAAGCTACAGATGAGAATCTTTTAAAGGTTTTTGAATGCTAACAATGCCTTAAAGTTGGTACATTTCAGAATGAATTCAAGATGTGGTTTCCTATTGCTATGAAATACCTTTTCTCTTTCATTATCTAAGTCTTGTATATTTTTATAAAACTCAGTTATGGTACAAAGTCTCACATTTTTCCCAGCAGTTGTTTTTTAAAAGCCCTTTCAAACTAAAACTATACCTTATTCTATCCTGAACATTTTAGTATGAAATCTTAGCAAATGAGCCTAGTATAGTACTATAGTAAAGGATTTTGGAATGTGATAGTTGCAAATATGAAAAGCAAATTTTCTTTTTCTACATCTAAAGAAACCAGTTGATGTTTTAATTATAGGTGAAAGGATCACGTTTTGTAGAAATGTTTACGTGTTCACCTTAAGACGTAAAATACTATGTGAAACACTTTCAAATTTAAATTTCACGTGCAATATGTTGTTAAATATATAAGTTAAAATGTACTTACCTATTCTAGGAGATGACTTGTTATTGGAACTGCCATCAACTACTAACTGTTAAGGACTCTTTCAACAAAAACGGAAAACAGTAAAGTCACATGTCGTAAGAGTAGGCCTGTGTTGGGTGCTGGATTTCAGTACCAGAGGAAGAAAAGGTGGGGGGTGGGGTGAGCACACAACTTTTAAATGAAACCACTTCCTGGGTAGATACAGTTAACCACACATCACATCATTACTGGATTTAAAGAAATTTCCTTGTATAGTCAACAATATTGTTATTTTTTCGATGTGATTACTAATTCTCAAGCATTATACATTTTATATAGATTTAATATATTTTGATTTAATGGGGAAAATGTGTGCTTAAAACTTCAGCAATGGGGGAGAGCAGGCTGCTACATACTGGGGAAACTTCCCCTTTCTCTGCCTTCTAAAAAGGGCTTAAAAACTTAAGTCTCTCCTTTCCTGGGTAAACTCGGCACATTCACCTGCTATTAGGAGTGTCTACACATAAACTTGGGAAGCCGAGAAACCACCTCCAATTCACAGAGGTGGTTGCTGCCTCACTCATGGAAGCCCTCACCAAAAGCTGCTCCAATTCAGTTCAAAGGGTATTGGGCAGGTTTCCTTAGAACTTCAGAAAACACAGCCCAGTGGCCCCCCTGCCTTCTGCGCAAGGTGTCTCGGAACACACGCTGTGGTATTGGCCCTGATTGTGGCTCTCATCCTGGTGCCCTCTCTGAAAGTTTCCTAAGCAGTTCTGAAATTTACTGAAGAGCTATTGCTCTAGTTCAATGATTCTTTGTGTGGTCTGACTTATGAAGAAAAATATTATAATAAAAGATCCAAAGGGTATCATTTTGGCATGATGTGGTGTGACCTCCTTTGTCAAACTTCAGCCAATCTAAGACATGTTTTTCTTTAAGTTTATCATTATTATATATATATTTTTGGCAGGGTTTGGCCAGGGCTGGGTTTCTTTCAGGTTTTAGTGGGCATGGGGACAGCTTTCCCCTGCCTGGGTGCATTGTCTGGAGCTGGGACCTTAGGGTTGGCCTCCTACAGGGCACATGGTGCCCAATTCCCAGATGCCTACAGAAAGGAGCTCTTTGACAAAACCAACAAACATCACTTCTTTCACAGCCTGGCCTTGTTAGGGGTGTCCCATTGCAGGAAGCCCCTCTTGGCCGGGTTACTACTGGCCTCGGGAACCACGTTATTCTGCACCAGCTTTTACTACCAGGCCCTGAGTGGAGACCCCAGGATCCAGACTTTGGCCCCTGTGGGAGGGAGCCTGCTACTCTTGGGATGGATGGTCTTGGCTCTTTGAGCTCTCTTTTGTTTAATTACTGAGTTTACTGGATAGTTTTTTGAGATTTGGAGCAGGAAGGGAATTAAAAGGGAAATACAGGGCAGCACCTGTGGCTCAAAGGAGTGGGGCTCTGGCCCCATGTGCTGGAGGTGGCAGGTTCAAACCCAGCCCCAGCCGAAAACTGAAGTAAAAGGGTGGGGGGGAATACATACATGTATACACACACACACACACACACATATATTGAATTGGAGCAGCTTTTGGTGAGTGCTTCCATGAGTGAGGCAGCAACCACCTCTGTGAATTGGAGGTGGTTTCTCGGCTTCCCAAGTCAATGGGTAGATGCTCCTAATAGCAGGTGAATGTCTGGTATATGGAGCCAGCACCCTACTCTTTTGAACCACAGGCACCGCCCTCTCAGAGACATCTTTAAGGGGTCTTGGGAATAACTCTAGGATGTGCATGTTTATCGAGCCATGGAATTCAAGAAATAAGCGCCTGGATTTTCAGACTTGGCTGGTTTTGTGATAGTTGCAGGCTACTCACAATAGGAAAAATCTCTTCTTTCTAATATATGAGAGTCAGGGAGGAACCTGTGGCTCAGTGGGTAGGGCACCAGCCCCAAATACTAAGGGTGGGGGATTTGAACCTGGCCCCTTTCAAACTGCAAAAAAAAAAAAAAAATAGCCAAGCGTTGTGGCAAGCACCTGTAGTGCCAGCTACTTGGGAGACTGAAGCAAGAGAATTGCCTAAGCCCAGGAGTTGGAGGTTGCTGTGAGCTGTGATGCTACGGTACTTTACCAAGGGAGATATACATGAGAGAGTCAAATCAGAATCTCTTGTCATGTGAACCAATTAGACAAGAAATCAGTGTAATGGAACTCAGTGGTATGGAATGTTTAGCACACAAAAAGACAATTCATACAAATATATTTGTTATATATGGCCCAAGTGAAGGATGATGTGTTCCCATCATGTAATCTAATTTCTCTAAGATTGTTCTTTTTAATACCATATTTTTGTTTGACCCTAGAATTCACTGTCAGTTGTCATTCCTGGATGGACCCTTTAAGTGTTCAGAGTCCTGAAGATTTTTGCTGGGTGTTTCTCCATAACACTGAGGAGAAAGTGAAAAGGGCGTAATATTAGAAGTGAGGAAATGAGAATTCAGGTCTCCATTCTGACAGTGCTGTTTATTTAATGTTGGCCAAGACACCTAAGTTCTCCGAAATTCGGTTTACTCATCCATATAATGAAATACATATTTTAAAAACTATCTTAAAGGACACAATAAGTAAACAGATTCAAATATTTGGTATTTCATGAAGAATTATAGACATATAAATTAGCTTGAGGGGAAAAATTTTGATACTTCCTAAAAAGCATCAGAAAAATTTCAGTATATTCTATTCAATTTAAGCCTTTATAAATTTGAGTCAAACTCAAAAGTCCAGGACAAGAACAATAAACTAAGTCTTTCTTTTTGATTAGGTACTAATATCAGACATCTGACTAATAAAAAATATAAAACACCAATATACCCATATGGTAATAAATAAAACTAAGTACTTAACATGAAGGGTGACAGTAGTTTTGATCATAAACAACTACACAACACATGGAGACAAAAGCATATTTTGTTTGTTTAGGGTGAGAGGTGAGCTCCTTTAGGCAGTAATATGACTGGGTCTGATCTAAAGAGAAGTATTTGGTATGATTAAGGCTCTAGGTTAGGGCTTTGATACTTGTGGCTTGATAGTAGCTAGTATTTATTGAATGCTTATTATAAACCAAGCATTATGCCAAGCATTTTACATTCATTCTGCCTTTTAATCTTCACAATAATTTTAGAGCTAACTGATTATTATTATTTTTATTTTTTTGCTTCTTCTTGAGACATGTTCTTACTCTTTTGCCTGCACCAGAGTGTAGTGGCATTGTAATAGCTCACTGCATCTTCAAACTTCTAGGCTCGTGTAATCATCCTGCCTCAGCCTGCCAATATTCTGAGACTGTAGGCACATGCCACTGTGAATGGCTAATTTTTCTTATTTTTTATGAAGACAGGGTCTCAAACTTCTGAGCCCAGGGGTGCTCCTGCCTTAGCCTCCCCAAATGCTAGGATTACAAGAGTGAGCCACCACTGCCAGCCTAGGCTAGCCAGCATTATTATACATTATTATTATATTCTTTTTACATGTGAAAAAAATTAAGGTTAATGCGTTGCTCAAATTAGTTAGGAGCTGAATCAGGGGTCAAACTTAGATGCTTTAACCTCAGAGTCCTTTCTAAATTATTACTGTACTATCTCCTAACCACTTATGTGCATTAGGGCTCTAAGTGAATAATAGTGAGGAAAAATTTCACTGCTGATATTCCTTTTTGACTCTTGATTGCCTAGAATGACGGACTTAGCAGGTAGGAATCATTCCTGAGAATCATACTAAAATCAGTTCCCCAGAAAGTTCTCCAAATTTTAAATCTATGTCAAAGAAATTTAAAGAAGGTTAGTATAAACAGAAATATACTATATTCATAGACAAGAAAACAATGAAAGTTCCTCAATCTACCCAAGTTAATCTACAAATAGATAATATAAAATCTCAATTATAATTGCAACAGGACTTTTTGAAGAATGCAATTTCCACAGAGGAACAAATGTCCAAGGGTGCCTAAGTTCATCCTGAGACAAAAGAGCGAGGATGGTGACTTGTCATGTTAGATAACAGTATGGTGCAAAGCCACAGTGTAAAAATCGTTGCAATCTGGCCCAACAGCAACTCAAAATCTGACTGGTTAATTGATATATGATAATGACAATATAAAATAAACACAAAACAATAGATTATTTTAGTAGATAGTATCAGAAGACACACTTGCTAGAGGGAAATAGATTAGAGCCTGTACAACAGACTACATGTGAACATGGACCTCAGATGAATTAAAACCTACATTTTAAAGGGTAAGACCATGATGCTGACACAGCAAAATGAAGGAAAATATTTTGTAAAATGACACTTTTAAAAATAGTACCCTTACATTACAAAGAAAAAGAACAAAAATATGTGGATTACAAAATAATTAAAGATTTCTGTTAAACATATACTTAATAGACTTAAAGTCTAGAAAAATAAGAGACCAGTAGAAAAATACCTATATTTACAAAAGATCGAAACTGACCAATGGGATAAGAATATGCACCCAATCAGAAAATAAGTAAATGAGTTGAACAACTTATTCCTAGAAAGGAATACCTTAATGTCTAATGAGTGCGTGAAAAGATGCACCGACTCTGTAGTAATCACAGTAACACAATTTGAACCAGCTCCCATTGAAATGATAAAAATCTGGCTGAGAATGTATGGAGAAAGGGACTCTCATACGTTGCTAGTGGAACTATAAACTGAAGCCATTCTGACAAGCAATCTGGCAAAAATGAACAAAATAAAATATATGCATCACTGTGTTCTAGCAACCAGACATTGACTATTTGGTCCAGATAAATTTCTCACACAGAGCTGTTCTCCTTCCTATATCACAATGAGTTACCTGATTTTGTTCTTGGCTCTTGTGACTTGGGCAATATTTACCCACATTCTGTCTGTTCATGTATGGTTAGGGAGGAAAACAAGTTTTTAGGCTCTCT